GTATGTGTCAGTTTCGATGCTTGTAATGTGGAGCGCTCTTTTTGGAGTTTCTGAGCAGGTATGAAACGCAGATTAAGAAGCATTTCTGGTGAGTGAGAGCGGGAGCCTGGAGGTCTGTTTTCACACAGGGTCAACAGTGACCTATTTGACACAAAGTGCCAAAAAAACAGCGTGCTTAAAACCTCATCTGATGGGAACAAATCCAGCCTTTTGAGTTGGAGAAATAAAACAACAAGGATGGTGAGCAGGGGTTGCAAGAGAGCTGGAAATCAGACAGATCCGTCAATAGCTCCACGCTTGATGTGGCATAAAGGGGCCTTCTGGTTGACCGCCTCTGTTAAGGCCGACCTAAGATGTCTGGCCCTCGCTGACCTCATATACACTATCGCATTGTCGGCCCTGGCTTTAACCTCAACAGCTTGCATCGCCACAGAGGCCCATTATAGTGCCAGTAATGATTTGGAGGATTCCCTCAGCAGCGTATTAATGCAGGGAGTCTCATCCTGCATGACGACAAGCTTATAATGTTATTTAATGATACTGCATTACAATAACATGTATTAGATTCATTATGCTTATGTTTTGGATGAGCCGTTGTCAAGAAATCAAAGTAATCCACAAGAGAATTGTTGCTTTTAAAAGGACTATCGGATTATTGTTTAATCAACCATTTTATCTGGTTGAAAAAATGTAAAAATCAAAGTCAAATTGTCAGTTTTGTACTTAAGAAACATGCATTTTGAGGTTCTTGTACTCACATTATTCTTTAACTACATTATTATTAGATAAAACTTATTTTACAAATAAGGATTTACAGTAACATGCATGACATAATTAGCTTTGCCTATATGAAACATTTTAATTTATTTACCTAAATATGTAAAATAGTGACATTAGCTGCATGTCAACCATCTAAATATTACTTTTGATACTTGAAGTGCATTTTGCAAATGTAAAATAGAAGTAAATGTGTTAATGATGGACGTATAATGTACTATTTCTACACTGTGGGATTGCTACTTCGACTAGGAACTACTTTCTCCATTGCAATTAGGAGTCAAATAATTCTTAACGCAGTAGGAATAAATGCATGTAGTAAAATGTTTGTATCCAAATTAGTTTTCTGCTTATGGATTTCCTTTCTTGTGAATTTTTCTTTAAAAAAAAAAAATTGCATTATTTTGTAACAATAAGTATAGAAAAAGAGTTCTGGGTGTTCATGGAGCATGTAATGATGAGGTTCAGTTCGTCATTGCATCATATGTACATGTGAAGCCGCAGTGCCATCATTAATCAGGAGACCCTGAACATGCCTCTGTGCCTCCCACTGAGGCCAGACAGAGATGAAGTGTTTGGTTTTTGTGGCATGAGATGGTTTCTAGCTTTCTACATAGTGGCACAGAAACATGTCCGCCTGAATTATAGTCGGGGAAAGACTGTTGGGACAAAAACAGCAAAACGCACATTTTGCCATAATCCTGCATTTTAATAATACCTCAACTGCATGCAAACATCTTCAAAATGCGGCCTTCTACAATATTTAAAAGCCCACAAAGTAGTTCCATATTAATGTGAGGACATTTCAAGCAATTGTTGTCTTTGATTAAATCTCTTTTATATGCCGCGTCTCTGTATGACTTTATGAACCGCTCACCAATAAGTATATAATAACACGCAATAGTTCCTCTAAAGCCCGAAAGAAGAACCACAGTCAAATTACTGTGCACTTAAAACATTTAAATTAGTTCTGAACTTCATCAGAAACAAGATATCTAATCGTTTTCGACCAACATCTAGATACTAGGAAAAAAGAAGTCAACATGGCTTGATATCACATCTGGACAATTTCAAACAAGGGGTTCACAACCTAAGGGTCGGAGTCCCCCATGAGGGTCATAACATACATCTGGAAGGTCACGTGAGGAAAGAAGAAGACTCCATTTTGTTTTTAAATTTAAATAGTAGAAGGTCTCAAAGACTCTAAAAAGGATTAATGAGAAAAACATTCAATAATACCTTTGACAAGCGGTTGCATATCGCATTGCATTATTTATTTCAAAGGCCCCGAAAATATATGTTCTCCTTTAGCCTCTGCACTATGAGGGATGGTTCCTTCAGTTATGTACGTTATGGTTATCTCACAAGGGAGACTAACTCATTTGTTTTTTCTTTGTGCTTTCCATCACTGGTTTAAGAGGGCGGGGCTTCATTTGGAGATAATGTGATGTCACATACTTCCATGCACCAATCAGGATTCAACAACATTAGAATTAGAATCTGAGACAATCTGAGGTTGTTTGCTCACTGTCAATTAAATCTGACCGAAGTAGACTGATATTTTTAGCATTTTTTTGTGTTAAACGCTTAATAAAAACTGGAGATATTTTACTTAATTGTTACGCAACGGAAACCATTGTCACTTAACACAAACATGTGCTTCATAACCTGTGTTTTTTTTTCATTTAAATAAATAATTGTGATTTTTTTTTACTGAATGTTTTCAATTAAAAAGCAAACATTTTTCTTTCAACTTTAACCAAAAACTGCTTCGAATCAGCAAACATTAACATCCGATTAGAATTAACAGTTATGCAACCGCTTCCTTTTATAACATTTCTACAATACTCTTGACCTTTCTTCTGAATACAAAATAAAAAACTATGCAGCACACTTAGTGACGTAATAATACGTTTACATAAGGCAGGTTGAATAATACGTTTAATCACTTACAAGGTTTCGTGTAAAATGTCTGAGGAGGTGTTACACTCCAGAGTATTAGGTTGATAGGCTATTACTTGCGAAAGAGGCTTATATAAAGTCAAGTTAGTGGCACAATGGAGAACAATTGTGCCACTAACTCCTGAGAAAACAGACTGTTTGTTGTTCTCTGCCTTGCTTCACTGATGGCTGGTCAGGGATTTCATACACTTGACAGATTACCACTTTATTCAGTTTAATCTTTCATGTTTTTTAACTTATATTCCTGTGTTTTAGGATTTTTTCGTTGCAAAAATAAATAGAAAAGTTAGGTTCAATAAAGTTTAAGCAACATGCAGCCTGAAAACCTGCAGCCTGGAATGTTCTGAGCGTTTGTTCAGGGCTGCTTACAGATGAAAGTAAGCTTTTCATAGTGTTTAAATCCTATTACAACTCCAAACGAGGTGGTGTTTTACTCCGCCGTTCACAGCTTCGAAGCTGAATAAACATTCTCCACCTTCAGCATTGATTAACTCATGTTAAGCTGGAGCCCACTGTCAGCCCATCTACGGACATTTAAGGTGGCATAGCTTCTTTCCAAAGAAAGTTGGTAAGCTACACTTCAGTGTTCATGATAGGCTGCATAAAGGCTTCCTAACCAGGGTGAAAGCCTCGGTCGGTGTGAAAGTGAGACGGTGCTCATGGCCTGTTGTTGGGGCTACACTTGCTGGTGCTTTAAGCTGCAGGGAAGATTAACATGTTCCCAGCTCCATGAGCAACATGGTGTTAACACTGTTGTTGCCTGCGGATATAGTGGTCCATTTGGAAATGCAAGTTTGCAAAACAAACAACTCACTCATAGCATGAATCATTTTGTGGACTTTAGGTATTTCGTCAGATTTTTACAGTGTTTGTGCAAGAGATGAAGTTTAACCACCCATCCATTTCCGCTCAACACTGTGTTTTTCTTGTTACGTCACTTTTGTTTTTCACATTCGTCCGCTGAAGGACGATGTTTTCTCTGCTAAATAGGATTGTTGGTCCTGCATGAGCTTAATTTGTGACGTCACAAATGTTTAATAGCCAAATATGGTCCAGTATAGACTTTAGCAATTAGGGTGTGGACATTTTAACCTCAGGTATGTACAACGATCACTAACTTTTTATTGAAGTAGGCGACATTTTTTGTCTTTAAGCGAAATTGTGCATATTCATAAATACTGGATTTTTTTCAGTTAGCAAAAGTGAGTAGATGTAATTTAATATAAATATGCTTTTGCTGAAAATGTTTATATTGTTAACAATAATAAGTTTGTTTTTTTTAGACGTGTAGATAACCAAGTTTAAAATGAATCACACAAAATAACTTTTGCTTATAGACACAACAGCCAACATAACAGCCAATAAATAAAGGTTTAAAATGCGATGGACGTTAACCAGTTCAATTTCTCTTTCTTCTCCAAACTTCACAAAAAACAACTATCTGCTATTTATTAAGGTATTTAAGTTTATTACAGTTTTATACCTTCATACTTGTTTGTATATATTTGAAAAATATATTCTATAAACATTTCGAGGGTCTCACACTGTTTTTGTGTTTATGCTTTTCAAGTAAACATGAAAATGAAGGGTTGGCGTGCTTATTCTTCTCATCTTGACTTAGTTCTATACGATCGAAAAAACGTCCCTGGAACATTTTCCGTAAAAAAAACAACAACACGTGAATTATTAATATAGTCAGGAATATAGTAATGATTAATCAAGCAAGTGTAATATTAAAACAAATAATAATAATAATGGACGAATATGTGTGTTGCAACGCCGCTAGGAATAGGAGTATTGGGAGATTAAGAGATTAACCGGGTGCATAGTAAACCTTAAGTGTGCATGCACAGTTGTAACCAATAGGCGGTACTGTGCCATTCTTCATGGAGCTCTCCATCTCCAGCCCTGAGGACAACACTGCATCTCTGCTTTGGGTTGCTCCCTAATTGACCTAAATACAGCATCTCTGCTCCCTGCAGGCAGACGATCACACAGAGGCTGCGAGGAGCGAGACAGTCTGGGGTTTTTCTTCTGGAGTAATTCCTCGTCTCTCCAGGACGATATTTATGTCTGGATCTCTGACAGCGGAGGCTTGAGCTCTCGGTGCTCTCATGGGTCGCGTCGGGATGGTTTACGCAGAGCAGAAGACACTCCTGGCTGGGAACAACACATACCGTGGAATGATTTTATAAATCAGAAACAGCGTTTTGCTTCGGATTTCAAGACTTCACAGTCTTGAAAAGGACGGACAAGTAAACATGCTAGATAATAAATCGCCGAGATCCAAGCTGGGTCCTGCGTCCAGAGGTTGCTCATTTTACATTGAGAATTTGCTGGGGACTGCATACAGAGCGGCTTCGTCCGAGGAGAGGGTGGAGACCGAGAGATTGAAAGTAACCGACCGCAGCCCGGTGATCTGTCCGGGACTGGAAACTAAACGTCTGGATGAGAGAGGAGTGTTAACCGGGAGCGGGACATCACCAAATACAGCGTACGGCAGCTCAAGAAGTAAGTGCATCCAATAATATTCGCATTGGTATGTCCTGATCTGTTAATAAAAAGTACGGGAATAACACATGTTGTGGAAAGAGTAAATAACAACTCTTATAGTCTCTTAATTCGGGCTCATATCTGCTTTAAAGGGTTGGAACATGATTAAAAACGGTCGTGACAGCAGTTATCCTCACTGTACCAAACATGAACCACTTGCAATGACACATTTTGTCCGTATAAAAACACACGAACTTTGAATTACGTGCGTAAAAGTTTGAAATCATGTCTAGCAGCACTTTCACAAAAACAGCCGGTTATTTAACAGGCCACAAGAGGCCATGACACATGGGTTGTGGCACGTTTTAGTGACTCGGTGGGTAAAACACCCTAAACTCCCCAATTATAAACCGAGCTGGCATCGACAACACTCTCACTCTGATGCTCTAAATAGACCTGCAGCGGAGATGTGATGCTTATTTATAATGTTGGAACCGCATGAATGGGCACATTTAGTGCAAAAACATGTCAGATAATGTCTTGCTATTGGACAGGAGCGAAATGAAGCTTGAATACTGGGCAGGATTTCATTATGTTTCCTCACTGCCCGTAGGTCCATCGCACAAGGACGAACACACAGACGCTGTGCCAACAAGCGACCGGGATTCCCCAACTTTAACAGGGCGGGAGGAGAGCGAGGAGCCGGGGGAGAAGGGGGACGACAGTTTGACGGATGAAAGAGAGGAGGACGATGCGCGATCCTCCTGCTTCTCCCGAAAAGACAGCTGTGATACAGGTGAGGCCGAATCAAAGGTTATAACAGACCCCTTTAAAAAAGTAACCCACTTTATAGGGCATTCGTCACTACTACGCATGCGCTAACGTTGGGCATTGTTAGTATTGTATTGTAGTTTCTAAATGTTGGTGTATTTGAATATGTTTCTTGGAAGAGGATATCAGCACCAAGGGGCAATACAAGTGTTATATTAGGTCGCAGGGGTGTATCTGGGAGTTTAGTGAGTCATTGTGGGTAATTTAAATGCCTTCTTGGCCAGGTCAGCATTGAAAATGAGATTTTATCTCAATGTTTTTATCTGGTTAAATAAAGGTTAAAAAAAAAAAAAAAAAAAAAAAAAATAAGTTGGTTCCCTGGATTGGCCAACAACAGTTATGTTTGTTTTGATCAATAAACAGTTTTACTATTAACTTCCCAGAAATGTTGCATTTAAAACGTTATCACTAAATACCAATATTGGTATATCTGGCAGATGATATTATCCATTCACCATTTTCAATTACACTGCACTGTTAGCGTAGTTGTAACCAGTTCCATTTAGTAACCCTTCTTCTGCTTCCTCTTCTCAGGTGACCAAAAAGTGCCACGAAAGAAGAAGACCCGCACCGTGTTCAGCCGGACTCAGGTGTTCCAGCTCGAGTCCACTTTCGACCTGAAGCGCTACCTGAGCAGCTCGGAGCGAGCCGGGCTAGCCGTCTCGCTGCAGCTCACCGAGACCCAGGTGAAGATCTGGTTCCAGAACCGCAGGAACAAGTGGAAGAGGCTGATAGCAGCCGACATGGAGGCTAGCAGTGCCGCCCTCCCCTACACCGGCCAGAGGGTCGTCAGAGTTCCCGTGTTGTATCGCGAGACGCCACAGATGGTCGGCTTCTCCAATTCTATCCACTATCCATTGACTTCCCACTTCAGCCATCCGGTGTCGTTCCTAACGACGCAGATGACAGGACTGGTGTGACTTTAAGAAAGAGACGGAGAAGACTTTTGACTCTTTTGGCCCCAATGATTCTGCAAAAGTATTACTTTTAGTTCAGTTTCTGATCCTGTTGAGTTAGATGATCAATTTATGCATTCCAATTTATTTATAACAAATGCTACTGCTAAACAAGTACCTTTGGAATATAAAGTGTAGGGACAATAATTGAGGTTTAAAGGTGCCCACAATCATGTATTTTACAGAGGACATCTCACACCAGGTTCATAGGTTTTATGTATTGCTCATTTTTTATTATTTTTCACAGAAATTGTATTGAAGAACCATATCTATGGGATCTAATAAGGGTCAATATGATTGAGTTTGTGAAACAAGCTTTTGGCATGTATAAGTCTTTGTAAACCTATAAAACGTTTCCTCCAGATTTTGGGTGAAATTTGCAATAGTTGAAAAAAATGGTTGCAAAAATAGGAATGAGCTCACAAATGTGATCAATGCTCAAGACCATGAAAACTGAATTTTACAAATATTTTATGAAACTGTGAAAACGAGTTAGACGTGTATTCTGCGTGAACATTTTGTTCATACACAGCTCTGGCTTTGTAAATGGCAATCAAATTACTTGTTCAGACAGAGCTACACGAAACTTTTCCAGGAGGGAAAGGCTATTTATAGAAAGGCAGTGGTTTCTGATCAGCAATGATAGGAGGGGTGCATTTGTTCAGGTATTTGTTTCAAAATATCATCAATCTTTCTCTAGAATCGTAGACTGCACCTTTAAGGTATACGAGTATAAATGTTTTCCCTGCGTTTACAGACAAATTTAGGGGTAACATTTCCATTTTTAGCTTCTACTTCTGTTCTCCTAGTTTCATGCAGTTTTTGTTGCAGGTTTATAAAGGGTTATAAACAACCACGTTATGATTCTTTCTGAACATGTTTTCACAAGCTCTGAATCTTACTGCCCTATTTGAGCCCATACACACTAGTTGGGAGTATTATGCACTGTGTTCTCGGTTTGATCAAATAAACTGTAGAGACTAGATCATTTATGCAAAGGAGTTTGGTGTTTGTGACTTTTGATAGCTGTGAGCATGGGTAGTTGTTAGCAATATTCTTTGACACTATTTTTTTATTTAAGAGGATTTTAATACAGACTTTTGTACACGGATATGTTCACATGTGAATAAAAATATATGCACAAATTGTTTGGTGGTTTTTTGGGCAAGGCAAATTGGTAACTTGGATTGTTTCCCGTCCCTTTTTTTCCACTACTAAAAATCAGGTTGTATAAAATGAACAATGAAGGCCAAATTAAAAAAGGGATTAGGACAAATTCAGATGTTGGATTAAAGGTTTCAGGCTGTCAAAGTATGAGAAAAAGGAATACGTGTTAAAGCTTGACCCCATCTTTTAGGGACTTACATTCTCAAAGCCACAGTAACAAGTTGTTAAACTGTGATGTAAATATGGCTAAATAAATTGTATGTCATGGAACCCCAAAGTTCTCACAACTCTAAGTCAAGTGGACTTCACAAGGAACTGTGCAAATGTTAGTCTGAGTCAGTATTATGGATGGAGCCAGGAAGCAAGCGTTTCTACGACAGAAAGGGGTTTTAAAGCCACAGTATGGCAGCCAAGCGTACGTCTGCACCCCGCCCTCATCTGCCCCACACCCTCACCAATCAGGAGCTGCTAAACCGCAGTCTTCCGGGTCGCAGAAGAACGTTGCAACTCGCTCCTCTGCGCGCGCTATTCGCAGCCGAGGCGCAATGGTGCTCGGAGCGTCCGGAGACGTCGGTGTTTCGGGTGTTTCGGGAATCTCGGAGGAGCGGATGAAATGCCCAGGAACATGAGCAAAGAGGATGCCCCGAGCCGGAGCGCTTCTTTGACCTTCACCATCGACAACATCCTGAACCTGAAGCAGCGGGACAGGGGGGACAGTGCCGGGACCAAGGAGCGGGGGGACACTGGATGTAAGGAGGATTTACGGGCGCGGTGTGAGGACCCGTGGGACGTCCGGAGGAGGCACGGCAGCGGCTCAGAAGAGACAGGTAACTGGGAATTTATAGAAATAAATCAGTAATAAGTATATGGAAGTATCGAATGCACAATGGCCAATACAAAAGAAGAAATCTGACATTATGTAGAACTTGCTATTGGTTTGTTTTATCGCTAGCACTTGCAGGATATTTTTTGTTGGTTTGTTTCTTCATAGTTGAATGCATTTTAGTTTAATCTCTTTATTAAGGCGTCAGCTAAATGTAATGTTATGCCTCTCCCGTATTTTAATTTCAATGACTAATACATTTTGGAAGGAATCTAGAAATAGTAGACTGTGTAGGCTGATGAAGCTGTTGTGCACACATATAAAGCTGGATCCACACCAAAGAGACTAATTTAAATTATTTTTTAGAAACTGTAGGGGGTATAACCCAGACCAGAGGTGATGTTTTTATAGTTAATAATCAAGCTACAGTAATTATTGTGCAGTTTCTTCGCAAAAAAGTAGCGCGTAAGTTTGCATTTTCCGCTGCATCAAAGCTCGTTTTGTCGCTTCATTCACAGCGGCAGTGAAGCCCAGGGTGCGGCGCGCAAACCGCGGGGAGGACAGCCCGCCGCGGACCGCTGGCTCCTGTCCCGGGGCGCACAGTGAGCACAGCGCCGAGGACGCGTCCGAGCAGGAGGGCCCAGGGGACTCTAAAGGCATGGTGAAGAAGAAAACTCGCACCATCTTCTCCAAGAGACAGATCTTCCAGCTGGAGGCCACTTTCGACATGAAGCGGTATCTGAGCAGCTCGGAGAGAGCGTGCCTCGCCAGCTCGCTGCAGCTCACAGAGACTCAGGTGAAGATCTGGTTCCAGAACCGCCGCAACAAGCTGAAGAGACAGGTCTCCTGCACGGACATGGAGGGGTCTCAGCTCTCAGACGCGGGCAAAAATGTGCAATTACCCACTTTTTACAAAGACAGCAGCAGCCTGCTGGGAGGATGCTTGTTACCCATGCATTTCCCCGTCATGTACCCCACTGCAGCCGCCGCGCCTTACATCTACTTCTCCAACACTGGCAAATATTATGGCCTGTTCGATGCAGACTGAGGCCGTTTCTCTGTTTGGAATCGCAAGACAGTGTGTGGACATTTGGGCATACAGTGTCTCCTGTTTTGTCTTTTGGACTTGCCCTTTTTTTGTTTTTACTTCATAAAAAAAATCTCCCATTAATCCAAGACATGCATGTGCCACTTTTTGTCCTCCTCCAAATTAAATATTATTATTATTATTATTATTATTATATTTCAATGCTTAGGACGTTTATCTTCAGAAAAATGTGCATGCAGTTTTATGGCCAGTTTTATTTCGAGCAGTAATGTCATCTGAATGAATGTACGTTAATGTTTCATCCACTTCATAAATCTGCAATAATATATATTTTATTTTCGTTATCTTATGGTTTAAACCCTAGTTTATGTGGAACAACACTTCATTTGTATCTATATGGCCTTATTTTTTTAATGAACTCTTATCGTTTGTTTTCGTGACTTTTCAGACTGTTACACTGTGAATACAGTTACTATATCATGATGAATTTTACAATAAAAAGGTGTAATATTTGCAATTTTACCAACGTGTGTTGACTCGAGCTGAATTATATTCGGATTAAAGACTTTATATCAAATCTACTTATTGATTGTGTTTTTCTTTTTATCGTACATTTAGGTTCTTGTTATTATTTACTTGTAATTATTTGTTGCAATTTTGCATTGCCATCAACTAAGTCAAAGTTTAGATTTTTCCCCTGAAGTGGCAAAATGACTTCTTTAAACCTTATAATATTTTTATAAACAGTAAAATAGTGGCTCCAGGTTGCATTACTTGTTTTATAGCGCACAAACTCGCCTTTGTGAAATATTCCTGAAGCGAGTTTGTTATTGACATAAAGTAGTTAACAGCAATATTTCACTTTTCATTGTTTAAATACAAATTGTGTATAGCACTGCTTCAGCAGAGGTGGAAGAAGTAGCAGTGTGAAATACTCTGTTAAGTTCCAAAAGTAAAAGTCTTCAAAATGCAAATCCATTTAACAATCACATATCTTACTGGAATATTAATGTAAACATTGCTTTCATATTGCAGCTGTTGTATGTAGGGCTAATAACTTTAGCATCGTTATTTATTAGTTAATTTATATTTTGTTATATTAACAAAACTAACTAAATCCATCATGTGCATTAAGAACAATATTTCTCTCTGTAATGTAGTAAAATAGTTTTATAAAGTAAAATAGAAATACTCAAGTGAAGAAATGTGCCTAAGCCTATTTGCAATAACAAAGAATAGTTTTCTCTTTTTTTTGTATGATCATTATTCCAATTATTGTGCATTAACTAGTTAGCCCCCTAAACTGTGTTCCTAAACTTCAGAAATGTGTAAACCAGTTTATTTGTCTGTTGGGCTTCATTTAGACATGCATGTGAAAGTTGCTCCATCTATCAAAACACCTCATCTTCACAATCCGTTACCGTGTGTGTGTGTGTGTGTGTGTGTGTGTGTGTGTGTGTGTGTGTGTGTGTGTGTGTACATTGATGCTTGTAGTGTTTCAAATTAACATTATAGTTTTTGGGGAAATGCAGGACCAGATGAGAAGATGTCACAATGTAAGCTGGAAAATGCTTCTTTATAGAAGTAGAAAAACAAACAACTAAACAACTTGTTTATATAAATAGTTTGATTTGCTTGTTTTATTGGTTATTCTTACTTTAACTTCTTATATTTATATAAATATTTTTATATTTTTGTTTTATTTATTTCCAAAATTGAGCAATTGTCACAAAACCCAATTTCAGGACTAATAAAGTATTCTAAAATGTAAAATCTACAAAAAGGACAGACCAAAATGCATTCATAAAGTTTCAAAACAAATAAATCAATTCAATTGCATCTTCTTCCGGTTTTTAAAAGTAAAGTAGTTCCCTCAAACCATGGAATCCTTAAAAGACGTTGTCATGTTGTTAATGAACACATCCAGAGGGTTTCCCACTATCTGTCTTTCTCTGCCTTTCCAGCATTAAGAGAGGCACAAGTGTAGCTGAGTAATGCATCTCCGCAGAGAAAGGCGAGAAAACAAGAGAAATGTGTATTTAGGTGGACTTGCATCAGTGCTTCTGGAGAGACCTTTCCTAAAGGGCCCGGCAAGCTGCACTTACACACCGTTTCCGGGTCACTTCCCCCTTCAGTGCTGGAGCCTCTCACTGCTCTCTCCCTGTCACAGCCATTCAGGGCCCCGGCGCTGTTAACCTGCTCATTCAACCACTTAGTCTGCCTGCAAATCTGTTGTTGTCTCTACTAAATTCCTCCCCACCTATGCAGAGCAGTTAGAAATCTACTGTCAAATTATCACCAAAGGATTTGAGGTTGTTGTTTAATATGTTAGTTTTAAAATGCAGAGTGTTAAAGAAAGGAATACCTCTTCAACAAGATTTTGGATTATGTACGCATTGATAGGCTATCTTGTGAAAGCCCTCTTTATACATTTGGAGTAAATTAAAAGGAAAACTCTTAAAATTCTACATAAAGATATGCTTATTAGTTAATTCTTCTCTTTTTAATGTTGTTTCTTGCATTTATTTCAACAAATCAAAGCACTATGGATACTTTAAACTGAAGGGTTCGATTCATTTAACTGAGAGCAACCTTTTAATTGCACGGCTAAAATATCTTATTGGTATGATAAATTACAGCACTATTCTTAATTGTTTGAATATTTACTATTTTGGAACCAAGTTTGTAGTATTGCCCTATAAGCTTTAACATTACAAAGTTGAATTACATTTTAGCATTCAACCGACCAGCCGTGACTCAGCCAACTATTCCCTCCCTGCCTCAGTGCCTCACCCCCATTCAGATGTATATATCATTATATACTGTAGTCAGTGGATAATAAGGAACGTGTATTAGTTTAGGCAATCCACAGCATATTTCTACACCCTGCATTTATATAAGTGGAATTGGTGTTGACTATAATGCCAATTCACATTACAGAAATGTTTTACGAGTATCAGTGTAAATTACGAGATGTATCAAGAACCATGCAAATTGTTGTTCACTTCTTAGTCGCACAATAATGTAATAGACGTCATTGAACATATTTTAGTTTATAATAGTTTTGAACTTTTTCATGTCTGATCTGTGCTAGAGGGCTAAATTAAGGTTTTGCAAGTAAATGGGCTACGAGTGTAAACATAAAACCTAGACCAAATGTGCCTACATTCACAGACATTCATTTCTTTAAGTTCTTTTTTTTAAGTATAAACGTGTGTGTGTGTGTGTGTGTGTGTGTGTGTGTGTGTGTGTGTGTGTGAAAACAAATCTAAACTATAAAGGACACCACTAAAAAATATTTCAGCACCATATACATTTAATGTATAGACACATAGAAAATTAAACAATTTCAAATACTGATGGGAAATTACCATTTTGTGCATTTCTCTTCTAACCACAAATTCTAAATACAAACATTATTGATGTAAAACAAATAATTACTAATAAACACTCTTCAATTTTCTTTCTATTTCTATTCTATTTTTTGGGGTTGGGGAGACACTATGTCTATATATAGATAATGGATGGCCCTTATATTATTATGCTACTGTTTATTAAGGCTAGGTTAAAGGTTGGGTTTATCATTGAGCAGTTATGGTTAAATTAGTCTGCATAGGGTGAATGTAAGCCAATACAAATGTCCTCATCACAAGTGTAGGAGTGCAGGTTTGAGTATAGAAGTGCCTGCTTGGCGTGTCTTGTGTGTCTGAGATGGGTGGGGTGGGGGGGGCGGTGGGGTGGGGGGCATGGTGGGGTTTACAGTCGCCAGACTTCCTGACTCTCGCGCTGTCGGACACTTGTGAGCGCAGTGTTGGCTCTTTGTGTCTCAGCACTCTGTTCTCCAACCACAAGGTTCAAGTGACCCCACCGGCTGCCTGCAGTCTGCCCAGACCGGACTGCACCCCCCCCCCACACCCCACACCCCACCCATATCTGTCAAAAGGCGAAGAAAATCCATTAAAATCTCAACCTGATCAAAAAGACGCCCAAAGCCAAGACACCATATGCACCCATTTAGGGCTATCGATGACTGGCGAGCATTGTGCGGTAGCCTAATACACACGATTGACTTACTGCCAACAGGGGCAACTAAGAATGTTTTTCTACAAAAGAAACAGAGCTAGAGTTTGGCGGAGTTATTCCAAGCTGATGTTCAACTCAAGGACATCCAGAGCTGTCAGCACGTTCCTCTAGTTTGACCAGTGCTAAACCACGCCGCACATGGTTTCCATTCCATGATAAATACTTGAAGGCCGAACACTATTGTTTGAAATCATTGATCACAGAATTGCAAGTGATGATGTGGTCCCACCGAATGATTGTGGTGGGTGTTTCTCTCATGCCGTTAGCATGCAAATAAGGAGATGTGGCACGATGACCATGCCTTCGCTTCACCATTGTTTAGACATCGATGTGAAGTTATTTTACATCATGACCAAACTAAAGAAAAGTGAATAGAGACCGATGTTTGTACTTACTGTACTGCAGGGATATCAGTACTGCTTTGAAATGTCTGTACTATAATGGTGCATGAGTGTGTTAGCTAGCTATCATCTTGATTTCGTTTCAAAGAGGTTGAGATCACGTCATATCTCATTTCATCTCCCTAACGCCGGGTGACATCTTTGATTGAGATTTCCATATCAATCATTCACCACTGGCCTTGTTCGTAACCAGACCCGAACGTCTGGATAGTTGTTTAAGGAGCCATTAAATCCCTGTTCACACCCTACTTGGCGCGCTACGCTGAAAAGCTTGCCTGTTTTGCCGTGAGCTCTCTTTGTGCATTCTCAGATGGGATTTATAATTACTACCAATTACTGTTTAAACTGCCTCGAGGAAAAGACTGAGCTTAATTTCTTAAAATGATGCAGAAGTGAGCTGGAACTACTGAAAACTACTACAACGGGTTTTCTTTCAGCTTCTATTGGCAGAGAAGCAGTCAAAATGTAAAAAGAAATGTTTTGACACAGAAAATTCAAGCTGAATAAACTGAATTTGTTCGTCAATAACTGTTATCATTGGCTCCCCTAACCAATGACTGATCACACCTAA